AATGTGGCGACCGGGACCGATAAAAGGCCCCATAGTCTCAGAAAGCCACATGGCCGGCGGCCCCCATCCTCAGAGTCAATGGGTTTGATCGTGAGTTCAGTCATAAATCACCGCCTTATTGCTGTTTAACCAGGACATATTTGAACACGGTCTGTATTTTGAAATCGAAATATTCCCTTTCGGGAGGGTTACTTTTGGACAACACTGTATAATACATTAAATGTATGTAGGTAGCAGCCTATTTGGCCTAGGCTTATTTTTGTATTTCCGGTTATGGTACTTAATAATTATCTTCGTTGTAAATTTAGAAATTTTTTCTTGCAACAAAGTTGAAGATGAAGATGCTTACAGAACTTATCATGTTAACGACCAAACCGTTCGAAACACTAAGGGACGTTGAAAATGTATACAAATATAGTTTCCCTCCGCCAGTGGTAAGTCAATATATTCTGGATATGGAAGACATACGGTCCATTACTCAATAAGTGTGAAAACACCACCACACACTTTAGGACTTCCTTATCAGTAAGATTCATGGAGGAGGGGACGGGCTGAATTCCTCCGTTATACAGGCCAAACACATCCCCATAGGCCCTACGGGCTTCTTCCTTTGAAAGATGCACACAGGGTTATGTGTTCTCACAATGTTGACCGTCTTGATCAGGAGGTGTGGTTTACCGTTGGTGTGTTTGGCACAGCCACTCTAATAGCAGTGCCTGGACACAGTGTGAACACAGTCTTGACACTAGTCCATACTGTTTTACTCTGATTAGACTTTTTGATATTTTCCAAAGGGCTTTCAGGCAGTTTGCTGTCTTGAACAAGTCTAGGCCTATTACATCGTTCAACATTCTAAGTTTTTCAAAGTCACTGTCACCAATATCCAAGTTTTGTTTTTCAAAAATTAATTTTATTCTTTTATTACTTAATTATGCTTCTTTTCGCAGGATGTTGACGGATGGCATACCGATGAGCATTTCGGCAATTTAGCAATGAACGGTTGCAACCCCAACATCTGTCTCTTATACACATCTAGATGTGTATAAGAGACAGCAGGAAAGGATTAAAGGGGCCCTATAA